TTCGGGCTCTGTGCAAGCAGGAAGTGAAGGCTAAGGCTTACCTACAAAATGCCTAAGTGTTGACGGTGTGCCACCACACACACACACACACACACACACAGTACATCTGCAAAGACTAGGGGGTTATTTTTGGTTCCAGGCAAAAGAAATCTTGGTCAAATCACTAGCTCACGACAAACCAATGGAACAGAGACTTCTGTGACTATGCATGATGAAGAATATAGACCTTACAAGATTAGTTCAGAACAGTCACTAAACAAACTAATATCAAGAACTATTACAAGCAGCAAAAACAAACTCTAGGAAAGGGAGCAAAGATGATTTCCAGAGTTGCCATCTTGTAATATTAAAGATGTCTGGTTTTCAACAGAACATTACAAGGTGTGCAAAGAAACAAGAAAGTATGGTTCATACACAGGGGAAAAAGAGAAATTAATAGAAACTATCCCTGAAGAAGCTCAGACATTGGACTGAATAGACAACAATTTTAAATAAATTATTTTACATATGCTCAAAGAGCTAAAGGAAACCATGAGAACAATGCCTCACCAAATAGAAAATATCAATAAAGGAAAATAATTTATAAAAAAGGAACCAAATAGAAATTTTGGATCAGAAAAGTACAATAATTGAAATAAAAAATTCACTAGAGGACACAACAGATTTGAACAGGCAGAAGAAACAACTGGGAAACTTGAAGATACGTGCAATGAAATTATCCAGTCTGAGGAGCAGAAAGGAAAAGAAAGAAAAATGAATAGAGCCTAAGAGACCTGTGGGGCACTTTCAAGCATACAAACATACACAAAATGGTAGTCCCAAACTGGGTAGGGAAGGGGAAGAAAGAATATTTTAAAAAACTGGACACAAACTTTCCAAATTTGATTAAAAACATGAATCTATACATCTAAAAAACTCCAAGTGGAATAAACTGAAAGAGATTGACACCAATATACATTATAATCAAGTTGTTGAAAGCCAAAGATAAAGAGAGAATATTTAAAGCAGCAAGAGAGAAGCCACTCATTATGTACAAGGAATCATTAACAAGATTAATAGCTGATTTCTCATTAAAGACCATGAAGGCCAGAGGCAGTGGGATGACATATTCAAAGTGCTGAAAAAGAAAAATCAAAACTGTTAACAAGATTTCTATATCCAGTAAAACTACCCATTAGAAAAAAAGGAGAAATTAAGACATTTCCAGATGAACAAAAACTGAGAACGCTCATCACTATTGGTCTGCCCTTTAGGAAATGCTCAAGGGAGTCCTTGAGGCAGAAATGAAACGACACTAGACAAAAACTTGAATCCACATGAAGAAATAAAGAATACCAGCAAAGGTAACTACATAGGTAAATATAAAAGTCAGTATTAGTATCTTTTGGGTCTATAACTTGTCTTAATTCATATATGAATTTAAACAATAATTATAAGTCTATGTTGATGGACACATGTATAAAGATGTAATTTGTGACAATAACAACAAAAAGAGGGGCAGAGCTGTAAAGAAGCAGAGTTTTTCTATACTATGGAGGCAAAGTTGGTATTAATTCAAACTAGACTGACATAAGTTTAAGATGTCAACTGAAATCCCCAGCATAACAACTAAGAAAATAAAAAATATACAGAAAGAGAAATGAGAAGGGAATCAGAATGGTACACTACAAAATTCAAAAATAAAAGAAGGCAAAAATGGAGGAATTTGAGGAACAAAACATGTATAATATAAAAACCAAATAGCCAAATGGCAGGAGTCCTTTCTTATCAGGAATTATTTAAATGTAAATGGATTAAACTCTCTAATTAAAAGGCAGAGATTGGCAGAATGGATTTTTTAAAATGATTTACCTATTTGCTGTTTACAAGAGACTCACTTTAGATCCAAAGACACAAAGAGTTTCAAAGTCAAAGCATGGAAAAGACATTTTATGTAATTAATAACTCAGAGAGCCCTGGGATGGCTATAATATCAGACAAAATAAACTTGAAGTCAGAAAAGGTTACAAGAGACAAAAGAGGACGTTATATGTTAATTAAAGTGTCAATCTATCAGGAGATATAACAATTATAAACATATAAGCAGCTAACAACAGAGCCCCAACATATATGGAGCAAACACTGACAGGATTGAAAGGAGAAATAGACTGTTCAACAATACTAGCTGGAGATTTCAATATTCCACATTCGTTAATGGATACACAACTAGATAGAAGATCAACAAGGAAACAGAAGACTCAAACAACACTATAAACCAAGTAGACCTAAAAGACATATATAAAACACTCCATCCAACAGCATTAGAATAAACAATCTTAAGTGTACATGGAATATTCTTCAGGATAGAACATATATTAGACCACAAAATAAGTCTCAATAAATTTATAAACATTAAAACCATTTAAAGTATCTTCACTGATCAAAATGGATTGAAATTAGAAATCAATAGCAGAAGGAAATCTGAATATTCACAACTACATTGAAATTAAATTTACACTCTTAAACAACCAGTGGATCAAAGGAAAAATCACAATAGAATTTAGAAAATACTTTGAGGTGAACGAAAATAAAAACACAACACATCAAAACTTATGGACTGCAACCAATGCAGTACTCAGAGGGAAAGTCATAGCTGTATACTGCTACATTCAAAAGAAGAAACAGCCCAAATTAGTAACCTAATCTTCCACCTTAAGGAACTAGAAAAAGAAGAGCAAAGAAACACAAAGTAAGCAGAAGGAAGGCAACGATAAAGATTGGAAATGATATAAACAAAACAGAGAATAGAAAAACAATAGAGAATCAATGAAACCAAAAGTTTGTTCCTTGAAAAGATCAACAAAATTGATAAACCTTTAAATGGACTAAGAAAAAAAGAGAAGACACAAGTTACTAACATCAGAAATGAAAACAGGGACATTACTATTGACCTCACAGAAAATAAAAAGGATTATAAGAGAATATTATAAATAACTTTATGCCAACAAATGTCAAAGGACACCAACAAGAAAGTGAAAATACAACTCAAAGAATGGGAGAAAATATTTGCAAGAATATATTCTGATAAGGGCCTGGTATTATATAAATAACTCTTACAACTCAACAACAAAAGATAAACAATTCAATTTAAAAATGGGCAAAGGAGGGGGCCAGCCCCATGGCCTGGTGGTTAAGTTCGGCACATTCCACTTTGTGGCCCAGGTTTGATTCCCGGGCACAGACCTACACTGCTTGTCAGCAGCCAGGCTGTGGTGGCATCCCACATACAAAAAATAGAGGAAGATTGGCACAGATGTTAGCTCAGGGTGAATCTTCCTCAAGCAAAAAGAGGAAGATTGGCAACAGATGTTAGCTCAGGGCAAATCTTCCTCAGCAAAATAAATAAATAAAAAGAATAAAAATGGGGGCCAGCCTGGTGGCATAGCAGTTAAGCTCGCACATTCCGCTTCAGTGGCCCAGGGTTCACGGGTTTGGATGCTGGGTGCGGACCTATGTACCGCTTGTCAAGCCATGCTGTGGCAGGCGTCCCACATATAAAATAGAGGAAGATGGGCATGGATTTTAGCTCAGGGCCAGTCTTCCTCAGCAAAAAAAAAAGGAGGATTGGCAGCAGATGTTAGCTCAGGGCTAATCTTACTCAAAAAATAAAATAAAATAAAAACGGGCAAAGGACTTGAACAGATATTTCTCCAAAGAAGATACACAGATGACCAATAAACACATGAAACAAGGTTCAAGATCACTAGTAATTAGGGAAATGTAAATCAAAACCACAATAGGATACCACTTCACAGCCACTAGCATGGCTAGGATCAAAAAAACAAAAACAAAAACAGGAAATGACAAGTGTTGGTGAGGATGTGGAAAAACTGGAACCCTCATACACTGCTGGTGGCAAGGTAAAATGGTGTAACCAGCATGGAAAACAGTTTGGCAGTTCCTCAAAAAGTTAAACAGAATGACCACATGACCCACCAATTCCACTCCTCCAGATACACCCAAGAGAATTATAAGCATATGCTCAATGAAAAACTTGTACATGAATTTTCATGGTGACATTATTCACAAAAGCCAAAAAACGGAAACAACTCAAATGTCCATCAACTGAAGAATGGATAATGTTGTGTATCAAAACAACGGAATACTGTTGGGCCATGAAAAGGAATGAAGTACTGGTACACGCTACAACATGGATGAACCTTGAAAACGTGATGGTAAGTGAAAGAAGCCAGTCATGCAAGGCCACATATTGTATGATTCCATTTATATGAAATGCCCAAATAGGGAAATCTATAGAGACGGAAAGTAGATTAGTGGTGGCCAGAGGCTGGGGGAGGGGAATATGGGGAGTGACTATTTAATGGTAACAGGGTTTCTTTCTGGCCTGATGGAAGTGCTCTGGAATTAGACAGTACTGATGGCTGCACAACATTGTGAATGTATTAAAAACTACTGAATTGTACACTTCGAAGTGGTTAAAATGGTGAATTTTATGTTACCTGAATTTTACCTCAATAAAAAAAAATCTGTTTTGAAGCAAGGGTGATTCTTTGAAAAACATATTTTTAAATAGATGTTTATTCTTTGAAGATATACACTAAAGTATTTAAAGATGAAACAATATCCTAGTCTAGGATCTGCTTTAAATACTTCAGGATTGAGTGTGAGGGAGCAGGCTGGAATAGAGGAAACAAAATTTATCATGAATTGATTGTTGAAGCTACATGACGTTTGTTACACTGTTCTATTGCTATATTTGTTGGAAATTTTCCAAGTACATGTAAAAATCCAATGTACAAGATAATACTCTTAGATGGCATAATTATTTTCTGTACATTGACATGTAGTGAAAATTAACCATGTATTTCAGGACTTTAATAAGCCCAGTTTTTTAAAAAGTGACAAGTTTTTAAAAAAGTTTTAGAATACCCATCAATTCCACTCCTAAGTATATACTCAAGTATACTCAAGAGAAATGAAAGTATATGTCCACACAAAGATGCGTACCCAAATGTTCACAGCAGCTTTATTCCTAATGACCAAAACCTGGAAATAACTCAAATATAAATGTCCCTCTACAGCTGAATGGACAAACAGTGGTTCATCCATACAGAGGAATACTACTCAGTGACAAAATGAATGAACTTCTGAATACACACAACATGGATGATTCTTACAGATGTTGAGCAAAGTCCTACACGAAATATTACATAGTGTGTAATTCCACTTATATGATAGTCTAGAACTCGTAAAACTAAGGCTTTAGAAGGCAGGAGAGTAATTCCCTTGTTGGGTAGAGAATGGACAGGCGAATGCAGAGGTCTTTCGGGAGAGATGGAAATGTTTTGTTTCTCCATCCAAGTGTGGACACAGGTGTCTTCACTTTGTGACAATTCATCAACCTGCACCCTTGTGATCTGTGCTCTTTTGTGTATACACACTCACAAATGCCATAGACCATTATGCCTGAGCCATGCCGTGCACCTCAGCACCCATGCCCTGGCATTCCCCCTGGCTCTGGAAGGTACCTGCATGAATGGAGCCCAATTTGGGCAGCCTCTCCCTACAGTGCACCTTCTGGTGTGTCCGCAAGTGGCCTCTCTGACTAAACCCCTTCCCACACACAGCACAGGGATAGGGCTTCTCTCCTGTGTGGACCCTCTGGTGCCTCTCGAGGGCCGAGTGATGCCTGAAGTTCCTCCCACAAGCCCCACACCTGTAGGGCCGCTCTCCTGTGTGGACCCTCCAGTGGATGCCCAGGTCCTTGCTCCAGCTGAAGCGCATGCCACAGGCCTCACAGTGGAACGGCCTCTCCCCAGTGTGGACACACTGGTGCAGGTAGAGGCTGCAGCCCCGGCCACACGCGTCACACACATAGGCCTTGTCCCCTGCATGGTCCTGCTGGTGCCGTGCCAGTGCTGAGCGTGAGGTGAAGCCCCGGTCACACACCTCACAGGCATGCGGCTTCCTTCCTGTGTGGACGCTCTGGTGGATCTGCAGGGCTGCCCTGCGGCTGAAGTCCTTGCCGCAGTCACAGCAGCAGAAGGGCTTCTCGCCTGTGTGTCCTCGCCGGTGGATGGGCGGGTTGGAGCTGCGGCTGAAGTGCTTCCCACGTTCCTCGCATGTGTGAGGCTTCTTTCCCCTGTGCTCCTTCTTGTGCCTTCTCAGGGCAGATCCCGAGGTGAAGACTCTGGAACGCTCTGTACGTTGGGAGGGCTCTTCTCCCGGGAGGAGCACAGGAAGGTTAAGGTCTGCTGTCCTCTCCGTGAACGCTTTTCCACACCCATCATACGGAGGGGGCTTCTCTCCCCTATGGGTTCGCCGGTGAATTAGAAGGTTTCTGAGCTGTCAGAAGCCTTGGCCACCATGGGGACAGCTATAGGGTTTTTCTCTTGGAGGCACTCGCCAAGGGAGAATCCTATCCTTCTCATCCCTGACTCCTGGGACAAAGAAAACTAGGTGATGAAAGGGAGCAGAGCTTTTGGCTGCACGGGGCTCCTGGACACACTCAGGAAGTACTGGCAAGACAAAGAAACTTCACTGAGCGGACGAGTGCTGGGCTGCTGGTCTCCGTCCTCCTGGCTTTAGGTCTTTCATTTTTGCTTCAAGGGGAAGGAGAAGATACTGGGGACCTTCTCATTAGTCAAGGAAACTAAATACTATTAGAAACACTGAGTCAAATTCTGTGAGCTACAAATGGGTTAATGCTTCCAAAGTATAATTATCAAAAAGTTAAAAACATAACTTTCATACAACTGTGGAGTGAATATCTGTCAAAAATTTTAATAAGGAACCACTAAGATAGTAAGGCTGGTACCAAGAGCATTTGAGGAACTTGGGCATTTAATGCTTTTATTAAAAAAGATATTTATCTCTAATCAAATAAACGTTTAAATATTTTCAATTAAATTATCAGCCTAAAAAGTCAAATAATATATATTTTTAAAGTTGACACCCACTGATCATGGATTCACAGGGTTATTGATGGCATTTACTCCTGGCTGACTGGTTCTCACCTGAATAGGAGCGTCTTGATATTTCTTCTTCCACCCACACATCATCTTCTTGTTCAAAATGGAAGGTCATTTCTGGCTTGGGCAGCAAATGCCCCGCTTGAGGGGAGAGACCCAAGGATTAGGGCACTGCGATGTGGACAAGAACCCTCCCACAAGTCACATCTTAGCCCCTGGTATTCGTGAAGGTCGTCTGAAGCCTGGAAAAGGTGAAAAAATCCATTACGCATTAATATTACATTTAAATTTACCTATATTTATATAGACATACATATACGTATATTTCCCAAAACAAAAAGGGTTCCAGGAGTTCCAGGGGATGTCAGTGAAGAGGCCCATTTGCAATGTAACACAGTAATAATTCTCAATGAGTTGAACAGGCAGTAATGATTCTGTGCCTGCCAGGGAAGCACTGTGCAAAGTGTGCTTTGAAGAGACTTGTCAAAAATGCAGACTCCATCCCAAATCCACTGAAGCACTAGCCCTGGTGATAGAAGCCAGGGACATAGGTTTTTCCGGATAAGCTTTGATTTTATAGAAAAGTGGCAAGAGTAACACCAAGAACACCCATAGAACCTGAACCCGTATTCACCAACTGTTGTTATTTGACCCATTTACTTTATTAGTCTCTCTACGCACACATGGGATTCTCTTCTAGACCATCTGAGAGAAAGTCACAGGCCCCATGGCTCTCTAGGACTAAATTCTTCAGTATATATTTCCTCCTTCATAACCACAGTACAGCCATCAAAGCTAGGAACCTTCACATTGACACAGTATTATTATCTAACCCACAGTGAACTTGCAAATAATGCCAATTGTCTCAATTATGTCCCTTTTAGCACTCTTTTCCCATATTTTTTTATTTTCTTTGCAGGGGAAGATTCACCCTTCACTAACATCTATTGCAAATCTTCCTCCTTTTTTCTCTCCCCCAAAACCTCAGTACATAGTTGTGCATAGTTGTAAGCCCTTCTCGTTCTTCTATGTGAGCCGTCGCCACAGCATGGATACTGACAGACAAGTGATGTTGTTCCGCACCCAGGAACCAAAGCCAGGCCGCCAAAGCAGAGCATGCTGAACTTAAACCGCTAGGCCATCAGGGCTGGCTCACCTGGATATTTTTATCCAGGATAAAGCATCGCATTTAGTTATCGTGTCTCTCTAGTCTCCTTTAATTTGGACAGGAACCAGCATTTCTAACCATCGTCTCAGGCACTTGTATGCATCTCAAGTCTGACCCCACTGCCATAACGGATCTGGAATACGCGGACCCCCAAATGCAAATCCCCTCAGGATTTAATCCATACAATTGAACCACTGAGATGCTGTTCTCACCCAAGGAGATGAGATTCCCATAGTTCTCCAACATCACTTGTCTGTGCAGGTGCCTCTGAGAGGGGTCCAGATGCTCCCACTCCTCCTGGGTAAAGTCCACAGCCACATCCTTGAATGTCACCAGCTCCTAAAACAACAAACAGAGTCACCCTCAGACACACCCATTCCCACGTAGGAATGTAGCTGACAAGCACCAGTGAATTCTGACATCTCTAAGTGGTCCTGGCAGTTTCCAGGGTCCTGAGCTAGGCTAATTTAGGCAGGCATCCAAGCACCTGTTTGTGTTATATTACAAAGAAGATGGAAAAGATACAGGAGGCCCATTTCTAAACTCTCCGACCCTTAAGGTTTCTTTGGTGAGAAGACTCAAATTTCAATCAGAGTACACCAAAAGCTACACAATTCCAGAGGTGCTGTCTGAACCACATTCTACGACTCAGGAGAATAAGCTTGAGAATTCACTCAGGGAAGGGTCCAAAGAAGGAGGAGTCTAGGGTGGGCTGGGGCCACCAAGGCAGGTGCCATGGAGAAAGCCACGTACCAGACTTGTGGGATGGTTAGAATGTGAACAGAGGAAAGGGAGGTGGTGAATTCCAGCTGGGAAGAAAAGGAAGTGGACAGTTGTGTGATAAGGTGCAAGACATGTATTAACAGTAAGGAAATGTGCAATCTAGGGAACCTCTCTCTGATGATTATGTATTAACAATGTTTATTACGGGCCCCAAATCCCATTCACACATCCACAGTAGAAAGGCTATATGAACGGTCGTATAGTCACATAGAAGATCAATATTCAGTAGCAGTTCTCAAAGTGTGGTCCAGGGACCCCTGAGGTTCCCTGAGACACTGATGGGTGGGTCTGTAAAGTTAATAATTATTTTCATAATAATTATAAGATATTATTGAGCTTATTCACTCTCATTCTCTTACAAGCATACAAGGAGTTTTCCAGAGGCTACATGATGTGTGATCTGGGAACAGAGAAAATGTGGAAGCAGGTGTGAGATTCCAGCTGTCTTCTATTAAGCCAGCTATTAATTAATACCAAAAATGTAAAACATTTCCATTCTTCTCTATAAATTTTTTTGTTTTGGAAAAGTAAGTATTTTTCATAAAATGTGGTATTAACATGTAATGGATTTATTTTTGAATAGATTAATACATATTTAAAAATTTTGTTTCGACTTCTAATATGGTAATATTGATAACCCACATAAGAAAAGTTGTTATTAAAAGTGTAAAGGGGGGACCGGCCAGGTGGCTGAGCGGTTAAGTTCGAACACTGTGCTTCGGAGGCACAGGGTTTCGCTGGTTTGGATCCTGGGTACAGACATGGCACTGCTTGTCAGGCCATGCTGAGGTGGCGTCCCACATGCCACAACTAGAAGGACCCACAACTAAAACATACAACTATGTACTGGGGGGATTTGGAGAGAAAAAGCAGGCAAAAAAAAAGATTAGCAACAGTTGTTAGCTCAGGTGCCAATCTTTAAAAAAAAAAGTGTAAAGGGATCCTAAAGGCAAAAAGTTTTAGAAACTATCGCTATACAGAAGTGAAAATGAACAAATGACAACTACATGCCACAACACGGGTTAATCTCACAACATAATATTGAAAAAGCCAGAAACAAAAGAGTACATGCTGTGTGATTCCATTAAATAAAGTTCAAAATCAGGCAAAACGAATCTACAGTACTGGAAGTCAGAATAGTGTGGGGAAGGTGGGGTTCCCTCCTGGGGAGGGGTTGTTCAGAGCAGGAAGAGAGAGGGGAGGGCCTAGAACAGCCATGAGGGGGAGGAAGGGATGGTGCAAGCATCAGACAACAGACAGCGTCACAGCCCAGCAGCCTGGTCTCTTGGCAGATATGTTAAGCCTGTGAAATAGAGAATGTAGACAGGGGGGTTTCCAGAGAGCTGGTGACTCACAGCGTGGGGGTGATGGGAGCTGGTGGGGGCGAGCAGGATGGCAAGGCATCCTAGACAGCGCTTTTGTGCAAAGTCTAAGAGGCCAAACAGATTATGCTGGACAAAAAAAAATTACCTTCTCTGATCCTCTTTCCTCTTCTCTAAAATAAGCATGTCCCCAACACCATACAGATTTTTTTTTTGAGAAGGAAGTTGTTTTTCATGTTGTTTCTGTGTACAAATTTTTTCTAATTTAGGTACAATTTACACATAGTGAATTACATAAATCTTCAGTATTCCAGTTAATGAGTTTTGACAAAAGGATACGCCTGTGTCACTCACACACCAGTCATGATATAGATCGCTTCCATCACCTCGGAAAGTTCTCTTATGCTGTTCCCAGTTGATCCCTGCCCCTCTTCCAACAACCACTGATCTGCTGTCACTATAGCTTAATTTAACCTGTTCTAGAATTTCATATACGTGAAATTATATAGCAAACACTCTTTTGTCTCTGGCTTATTTTTCTCAGTGTAATGCTTCTGAAATTCATTCATGTTGTTATAGGTATCAGTAGTTTGTTCCTTCTTTTTTATTACCGAGTAGTTCTTAATTATATGGATTAACACATTTTGTTTATCCATTTACCAGCCGATAGACATTTGGGTTGTTTTCAGTTTGGAATGATTATGAATAAAGCTGCTATGAATAGTCACATACAGATTTTTGTGTGGACATATGTTTTCATTTCTCCTGGGTAAATACCAACAATGGGGTTTCTGGGTCAATGTAAGTATGTATTTAATTTCATAAGAAACTCTGAAATTGTTTTCCAAAGTATATTATACCATTTTGCACTCCTACCAGCAATGCTCAGACAGCCGTTCTGAGGATTAAATAGAGAAAATGGAGTAACACATGTCTAGCCCAGGGCCAGCATGCAATGTGTGTTACATTGCTCTCCTTCCCCAGCCCCTAAAATGAGCTATGGGGGTGATATTTCCAGAGAGAGAAGGTGGACTGCAACTTACCTGTACTTCGGGCATTTTCTCCTCTTCCTGAGGGAGGGCAGAGCCCTCACAAGGCAGTGCTGGGGAAGAAAGAAGCAGAGAGAACCGAACCTGGCTCACTGAAGCAGACCAGCGTCTTAGTCATCGAGATGGGAGAAGGGGGCACATTGTGTTCAGCTGGTGACATTGGTCTTGTTTATCATTACCTGACATGCCCTTCCCTGGATGTCTTTTCCTTTCTTTCTACTTTTATAGGTGGCCCTCGAACCCAGACTCTTTCTTCTTCCCTCCTTCCAAAAATTTACCGAATACCCACTATGCGCCTGGTGATGCCTTAACTCTCACCTTTCTCCTCAGCCTTCGCCGTCTCTCTAACTTCCACACGTTCGCACATCTTGCCCTCCCTATTAGGAGGGGAATCCCCTCAGCCCCAGGGCTGTGCTGGGGGATCTCTCTTCAGCCTCTCCACACCCCACCTGGAACATCCAGAGGGAGTTTCTGGAGGTGTCGTCTCCGCCCAAGATGGAATTCTTGTATGGCGGGGATCCCCTGCTGCCTTCCTGCTCAGGCAGCTGCTTTCCTGTAGGCAGGAGAGGAGACGTCCCAGACATCAGGCTGGCTCCTGGACCTCTCAGTCTAAGCGAGAGCACAGTTAACTAGACTAAAGCACAGTTAAGGCAACGGACATTTATTAAGCACCTACCGTGTGCAAGGCATGGCCCTACTTCCTCAGGGCACCCAGACCTGACCTCCCTTGGACTGTAGCTTCACGGGTTGATCAAGTCACAAGGGAGCAATGAGCCTCCTCCATGAGGCTTTCCTCGAAACCTCCCACTTTGGAATATAAATTCACAATCTCAAAAAGTGAACCTGTCAAATTCTTGAGTTTATCTTTTTTACTATTAATCAGTAAATGTTTTAAAATCTGAAAACCTTATCACTAGTGAGACCATGGGAAAACAATTATTCCCATGTGCTGTGAGAACATAAATGGGCACAGCCTTCTTGGGGGGAGTAATCTGACATACCCATCAAACTGAGGGGCAGGGAGGTCAGGAAGCAGGGACTACAATGTGAACAAGGAAACTTTTGGGGCGACAGGTGCATTCATGACCTTGATTGAGATGATGGTTTCATGAGTGTACAAACGTCAAAATATAGCAAATCGAACACTTTATATGTGCAGTTTATCATGTGTCAGCTAATTCTCAATAAAAAAAAATCAGTTCCCTAAAAAATGTTTTTTAATATACAGAACACCTTTGGCCCCACAATTCCAATTCTACATAAAAAACTTGCCCAAGCGCATGAAGATATGAGTGCAGAGGTATTTACTGTGGCAGCATTTGTAATCCTCTGAAAGTACATCCACCCTGACCACACGACACGTAGTACCTGCTGAAGAAGAAGGCAGCTCCGTACATACTGACAAAGACAGACAACTGTAATATAACTTCACAGGAAAGCAGCCAAACTCTGTTAAGATGCACTTGGTAAGTTTTTTCAAGTATGACAATTTTACACAGATGTAAACGATGGTCAATGCATTAGATGGGAAATTGGCACAGGCTAATTTCATGTTCAACTTTATACCCAATTGTATTCTTCTATTTTTAACAAGCAGTGTGTTTAACAAGCAAAATGTTATGCTACTTTGTTTTTAAATGAGTAAAGACTATAGAATAAGAAATGAAAGAACTAAACATTAAGGTGACAGCTAGATGAATTTCACAGATATTATGTTGAGTGAAGGGAATACAATTTGTATTTATACAAAATTCTAGAATAGACAAGACTAATCAGAAACAGTGGTTGTCTACAGGGGAAACTGATGGGGAGGGGGCACAAAGATAACTCTGTGACAGAAATATTCTATGCATTTATTTGGGTAGTGGTTTCATTGGTGTGTACGTGTATGTAAAAATCCATCAAGATGCGCCTTAAGATTTGTACAATTTATTGTATACAATTTACATCTCACTCGAAAAATCTTTCTTGAGCCAGGCCTGACGGCCTAGTGGTTAAAGTTCAGGGCACTCTGCTTCAGCAGCCTGGGTTTGGTTCCCAGGCATAGAACCAAACACTTGCCCACTAGCAGCTGTGCTGTGGCGGTGGCTGTAGAGGAACTAGAAGGACTTACAACTAGAATATACAACTATGTACTGGGGTTTAGGGGAGGAAAAGAAAAAGAGGAAGATGGGCAACAGATGTTAGCTTAGAGCAAATCTTCTTCAGAAAAAAAAAATCTTTGCAAAAATTTAAGAAGTTATACTGATTCTAAGAAACTCTAGTTAGCAAAGTTATGCAATAATACAGTTTTTGAAATTTCTTCAAAGAGAAGATAACATTATAGATTACCTTAGAAAGAGGTTCATGTTACGATGTTTGGAGAAAAAATGCAAACTGCAGATTATTAATATTTTCATTTTTAAAAATTATGTGCACACCTCCATGTAAGTTTAGAAGCAAATGCAAAAAGATGTCTGGAAAGAGACATCAAGTCCTTTACAATGATTACCTTTGGGGAAATGTGGGGCCTTTTACTTTCTACTTCCCATTCTTTTATTAAACCCGGTGGAATTATGAGTTTCTTTTTTCTAGATTTTCCAAAAGTTCTCTAATTACTTTGTTCATTAACATTTATAATAAAGGTCATAAAGCCTTTAAAAGTAAATACTCCCGGCCGGCCCCATGGCCGAGTGCTTAAAGTTCCGCACATTCCACTTTGGCGGCCTGGGGTTCGTGGGTTCAGATCCCGGGTGTGGACCTGCGCACCACTCATCAGGCCATGCTGTGGAGGTGTCCCACATGCACGGTAGAGGATGATGGGCACAGATGTTAGCTCAGGGCTAATCTTCCTCACAAAAAAATAAATAAACAAAAAAGTAAATTCACTGAAAGATACCCAAGATCCCTGACAGTCTACCATTTCTTGATTTATAAACCTGACTGTATTACTCTTGCTACCTTAAAGGCTGCCATAATTTTTCTACTGTTCCTTTGTACTTCTAACTCAGTAAAAAAAGAAATTTAGATCTAAAACCACAACACAGAGAGGGGTGAATGTAACAGCTTACTGAATGTCCGTGTATTTTACAGACGGGATAGTCTGGACACTGATAACAGTTTGTGTGTGTGTTATATGCATGTATTTCCCAGCAAGTTCTGGAACATTTATTTCTTGCATAATATCCTTAAAAGCATTTCACATTGTTCCAAATACGTCTAGAACTTTAAATAACCTCTTAAAATCTAAGAACAACGAGTAATGTTCTTGTCCCTCAGGGAATTTGTTGCCTTCTTAAAGATCTTGCATGTTTTTTCTTAGCTTCAAGGCAATGTGTGTGATATTTTTGTTGCTTTTGTGAACAGAATCTTTTCTCCACAATTTAATTTCCTAATCAGCTTTGGCTACTATAAAAAGACTTTTCAGTTTTGTAAATCTGCTGTCTAAACAATCACTTCTTTGTGGAGGAAAGAAGGGAGGCAGGGAGACCAAATAGACGCTCCTGAAATAAAGTTAGCAAAGGCCCAAAGGTGCTGGCAACTAAGATGGGGAAAGGGGATAAATTTGTTGGGCATTACAGAGGCAGAATCAATAGGATTTAGATGTGAGGGTCAGAAAGAGGAAGAAATGATAAATGCCCAAGTTTCTGGCTTGGGCGCCTCTGTACTGAGATGGTAAACAGAAAGGAGTGTGTGTTAAAGGTGAAAAATAAGTGTTTCTATTTTGAATGTGTTGGATTTCAAAATCTGTAAGATACTCAAGTGAAGATATCCAGACAGAAGAAGAATATGCTGTCCCATATCAACCCAGCTAACCAAAAAAGTGGATTCTGTTGATTGTAGAATTACTTTTAAAGATTTAATTTTTCCTTTTTCTCCCCAAAGCCCCCCAGTACATAGTTGTATATTATTAGTTGTGGGTCCTTCTAGTTGTGGCATGTGGGATGCTGCCTCAGCATGGCTTGATGAGCAGTGCCATGTCTGCACCCAGGATCTGAACCAGCCAAACCCTGGGCTGCCGAAGCAGGGCACGCAAACTTAACTACTCCACCACGGGGAAAGCCCCTATAGAATTACTTTTAGTGACAGCCTTTTGAACCTGAAAGCTATTTCTTTGTATTCCATCACAGGGGTTGTAAAGTTTCTTTCAGAATGAACAATACTATAGACAATATAAATTATTTACATATTAAAGTAACAGAATAAAATAAATAAACTTTCTCTTTCCTGAACTCCTGTTGGTTCAAAGAGCTTTTCCTTTCCAAGAATTTTTATTTTTATTTTTGAAAAGGTATCATGCATGCATGTTTATTTGTGTAAAAGTACATATAATGACAAGTCTACCTCTTCCCGTCTCTCTCCCTGGAGACAACCTCTGTTAAACTTCAAAAAAAAAAAAAAAGGCTATTTTTTAGAGCAATTTTAGCTTCATGGCAAAACTGAAGGGAAGGTACAGAGCTTTCCCATTTACCCCCTGCCCCTACACATGGATAGCCTCCTCCTTTATCAACATCCCTCATGAGTGTGGTACATTTGCTACCATTGGTGAACCTATAGTGAGTGACACATCATTATCACCCAAAACCCATAGTTTATCTTAGGGTTCACTCTTGGTGTTGTACAGTCTATGGATGTGGACAACTTTATGATGACATGTATCCACTATCATAGTACCACAGGGTATTTTCACCGCTCTAAAAATCCTCTGCCTATTCACCCCTCCCTCCCCTGCAAACCCCTGGCAACCACAGATCTTTTTACTGTCTCCATTGTTTTGTCTTTTCCAGAATGTCATATAGTTGGAATGATACAGTATGTAGCTTTTCAGATTGGCTGTCATTTAGTAATATGTATTTAAGGTTCCTTCATGTCTTTTCATGGCTCCATAGCTCATTTCTTTTTAGTGCTAAATAATATTCCACTGTCTGGATGTATCACAGTTTACTTATCCATTTACCTACTGAAGGACATCTTGGTTGCTTCCTAATTTTGCTAATTATGAATAAAGCTGCCCAAAACACGTGTGTGTGCAAGTTTTTGTCTGGACATACATTTTCAACTCCTTTGGGTAAATACCAAGGAGCATGATTGCTGGATTGTGTTACGTGTTTTTTATAATAACAAAAAAAGAAGTAAAGTAACGTATGATGACAACGTCACACCAAACAGAGAATAACAATAAAGAGACATAAATTTAAAAAAACAAGTGAAAATTCTGGAGTCAAAAAGTACAATCACTGAAATAAAAAATTCAGCAGAGGGGCTCACCAGTAGATAAGAACTGGCAGAAGAAAGAATAAGCCATCTTGAAGATAGATTATAGAGATTATGCAAACCAAAGAACACAGAGAACAAAGAATGAAGACAAATGAAGACAGCCTCAAAGAATTGTGGGACACCATTATGCACACCAACATACAAGTAATGGGAGTACCAGAAGGAGGTTAGCGAAGCAGGAAAAATATTAGAAGAAATAATGGCTGAAAACTCCCCAAATTTATCAAAAAACACTAACTTCCACATCCAGAAAGCTCAATTAGCTCTAAGTAGGCTAAATGGAAAGAGACCCACAGACAGACACATCATAGTAAAAATGATGAAGGTCAAAGACAAGGAGAAAATCTTGGAAGCAGCAAAAGAAAACAACTCATTACAAAGATAGGAACCAAAATAAGATTAACAGCTTTTAGACTGGCTGTTATAATGGAGGCCAGACAGCAGCAAGATAAAATATTCAGAGTGGTCAAAGTAAAAAACTGTTACCTAGGAATCTTATATCCAACAAAGTTATCCTTCAAGATTGAAGGCCAAATAAAGACTTTTCCAGATATACAAAAGCTGAGAGAATTTGTTGCTAGCAAACTGCCTTACAAGAAATACTAAGGGAAGTTCTTGATGCTGAAAGCAAGTGACCTCAGATGGTATTTCAAATCCACGCGAAAACCAAAGAGCCCTGGTAAAGGTAATTATGGAATTATAAAAAAAAGAGTTTAAGACCATATTTTTCTCCTTTCCTGTCTTAGCTAATTTAAAAAGGAATCATGTTAAATAATATGCATATAATGAATTCTTGGCCCTATAACATACAGAAATGTAACATGGATACATTTTATGCCAATAACACCACCGAGAAGGTGAGTAGGAGCAAAGCTGTATCAGACTTAAGAAATTCTTACAGATGGAAAAGTAAATTCTTACAGACAGTAAATTATTACAGATGGGTTTGTAACATTAAGAGATGTAACATGCATAACGATAATAGGACAAGAAGGGAGAAGAGGAAATAGGATCTATTAAGGTGTAAGGTTTCTATACATCACTAGGATTAAGCTAGCATAAATTGAAAGCTGATTTGGATAAATTAAGATGTGTATGGTAAGCTTCAGAGCAACAACAAAAGAATAACTCAAATAATACAGTGAATGAATAACCAAAGAAATTAAAATGCTACCTTAGAAAATATCCACTTAATGCAAAACAAAACTGAAAGAAGAATAGAGGAACTAAAAGACACAAGACATAGAGAAACATAAGTAAAATGACAGATGTAAATCCAACTACATCAATAATAACATTAAATGTGCATGGACTAAAATATCCGATCTAAAGGCCGATTGTCCAACTAGATTACAAAAACAAACACGATCCAACTTCTTGCTGTCTGCAGGAGACACACTTCAGATTCAAAGATACAAGCTGATTATAGGTAAAAAGAAGGAATAGATGGAAAAGCATGCAAACGGCAATCACAGCAAGCTAGAGTGGCTATACTAAGATCACACAAAATACACTTTAAACACAAATTGTTACTAGAGACAGAGGGACATTTTATAATGGTAAAATGCTCAATACATCAGGAATATATACAATTATAAATATATATGCATCTAGTAACAGGGCACTAAAATACATGAAACAAAAACTGACAGAAATGAAGGAAGAAATAGATAATTCAATAATAATATTTGGAGACTTTGATATCTCACTTTCAATAATAGATAGAACTAAATAGAAGATCAACAAGGGCATAGAAGACTTGAACGAAACTATAAACCAACTAGACGTAACAGACAAGTATAGAACACTCCATCCAACAACAGAATATATTCTTTTCAAGTATATTGGAACTTTCAATCACAATGGAACATTCTCCAGGATGAACCACAAGCTAGGCCATAAAACAAATCTCAATACATTTAAAATTATAGAAATAGTACAAAGTTTATGTTCTTTGAACACAATGGAAGACATTAGAAATCAGTAACAGGAAAAAAATTTAGGAAACTCACAAATACGTGGAAATTAAGCAATGTACTTCTAAATAACCAAATGGTCAAAGAAGAAACCAGGTTCCAAGAACCGCGCTCCTTCCTGGCCCTTTCAGCCTGTGGTGGTAAGGGCTCCATTCTGTTGCTGATTCAGGGACAATGAAACCATCCCACAATGGTCTCTGAAACCCTTTTAAACAGTCCCTTAATTAAGGTCTCCTCAGTCATCCCTTGTGCATGTTATCTGCTTCCTTCTGGGATCCTGATGGACACACTTCCTGATTCCCCATTTTCACACATACTTGCCAAAATCTGGTGCCCTCTCTATTTCCTATCTCAGAAAATCATACCACCATTCATCTAGTTGCAAAACCCAGAAGTCTAGGTATTGACACTTCCTTAAGTTAATCACCTAATCCCATTGATTTTACTTCCTAAATAGCTCTCGAACATTTTCATTTCATTCCATCTCCACTGCTATTCTGGTCCAGAACACCATCAACTCTTACTTGGAGCACTATGGCTGCCTCCTATGCTAGATTCTACTCCCTCTCTGCCCGCACTTTAATATGCTGTCCACATGACAGGGGCAGCTGGCTTAAGAGATCTGCTCCCTTCCTCTTCAACCCCCAAGCAGGAACTTCACAGTGGAGAGACCTGGCACGCCCTATGTTAACTAAGTGATTAAAGTTAGTATCATCAGTAATGAAACAAATTAGTATTATGTGCCATCTGAAACGACACATTGAGGAATAGCTTCTGTGTTATTCCTACCAAAAGTGTATAACGTGAATCTAATCATGAGGAATCCTCAGACAAATCCAAACTGAGGAACATTCTACAAAATAACTGGCCAGCACTCTTCAAAAATGTCAAGATCAATAAAGACAGAGAAACACTAAGAAAGTGTTCCAGATTAAAGAAGACTAAATAGAGGAAATAATGGGGAAAAAAGCCATAAATAATTTATTAGGACAATTGGCAATTATTTTTTCTTTTTAAAGATTGACCCTGAGCTAACATCTGTTGCCAATCTGTTTTTTTTTCTTCTTCTCCCCAAAGCCCTCCAGTACATAGTTGTATATTCTAGTTGTAGGTCCTTCTGGTTGTGCTGTGTGGGACGCCGCCTCAGCATGGCTTGATGAGTGGTGCTAGGTCTGCACCCAGGATCCAAACCAGTGAAACCCTGGGCCGCCGAAGTGGACTGTGCAAACTTAACCACTACGCCACGGGGCTGGCCCTGGCAAATTTTGATTATGAGTTGGAGATTAGACAATAGTATTGTATCAATGTTAAATTTTCTAAATTATACTACAGTTATTTAAGGGACTGTTCTTGTTTTTAGGAGATGCATGCTGAAGTAATTAGCAGTAATAGACATGATGTCTGCAACTTATCCTCAAATGATGCATAAAATGGTAACTATACACACAGAGATGGAATGATAAAGTAACTGAGGCAAAAAGTTGGCAATTGATGAATGCAAGTGAAGGGCATATGGGAGTTCTTTGTATTATTCTTTAAATTCTTCTGTAAACTTGATACTATTTAAATTTTAAAATCCATTGCAGTAAGGAAAAAACAAAACAAATCTCACAAGACCTACAAGCCCTCAAGAAAAGACAGCACTTCCCAATGTACAGAGCACAGACTAGGGCATGTGCAAGAGAGGCTAAACCACTGCGGACTAAATCAATGGAAAGCAAAGGCGAAGGCGTGCCAAGGGCTCTGATGTGGTAGCAGAGGTGGTAGCGGCGGGGAACTGAGGAAGGAGAGTGGGCTTTCCCCTGGGGTTTCCCAAAGCTGTGCCATGATTCACATTTGCCTTAGATCCTTCGAGGGCTCTGCAAGGCAGTGAACAAACACGTCACCTAACTGGGGACAGGGATTCCTGCATGAAAGAGGATAAATCCCACTCACTGTGGGTCTTGCTGCCAGGAACCCGGGAGCCATTTTCTCCTCTTTTCACAGATCTCTCAAGGCCAGCAGATTCCCAAGAGGGCAGAATAAGGAGCTGGGGGTAAAGAAGACGGAGTCACATGCCAGAAGTCCTCATACCCGGTGTCTGCAGATCCACCCTTACCTAAAAGGAAAATAAAAGTCAGGAGCCAACCTCGACCAGCAGAACCACAGAGAATTTAGGGCATGCGCATCCCACAACCACTGCACTCAGAGGGGCTTTGCAGAGATTCAGCCAGGCCTGTGACTCAGGGGTCAAGCCGTGATAGCAAATTCACAGCTGGGACACCTCCATCTTTAACACCTGGGACTAAAACTGCCACTGGGACAATAAAGGGGAAACAAGCCCTCTAGAGCCCTTCTGGCCAAGGGTGTGGAGAATCCTCTTCTGCAGATACCTGTGGAGGTGATTCAAGGTGTGACATTCCCAGCTTTGCCATCCCCGACACAAGTCCCCAGGGGAAAGTCATTTAACTCCACAGCACCAGGGAGCTTAGAGAAGCTGCTGAGCTCTTTGTGCTCTGGGGTTTCTCAGATGCAAAGTAGGGGGAGTCCTTTGGCAATCCACAGAGGACCTGGCTGGAGGAACAGCCGTCCCTGGTGTCCAGGACAATCTGGTCATCCCTCTGATAACACACCCCTTGACCCACTTAGGGAAAAGCCCTCTGAGTCAGAGGTGAAGGTGGTCTCACAGGAGCGGGGATACAGAGAAGACTGTGGCCCGCCCTCCTCAAAGTCCAAGCCACACCTCCAAACCCAGGGATGCCAGTACACATTATAACTCTAAAGACCAAGACTCATGACCTCCACTACATCCCAAACCCAGGGGCACCCACTTCCTAACTCCTGCCACCATTTCCCTAACCTGAGAATGCACACGTCTCCCGCCCCCACACTTAAGAACATACAGCCCCAGACGCTACCCTAGAAGCTGCCTCACTATCCTCACTCCACCAACCTGGGGCTGCAATGTCCCAGCTGCTCCCCAAACCAAAATGCCCGGCCTGGGCTGCCCCCTGAATCCAAGGACCCCTGGCTGCTGCCCCCCAACCCAGGGATGCATGGGGGCCGACCGATCTGGGGGGACACAGTCGCAGCCATACGCCCCCTTCTCAATAAAACGAAGGCGCCCCCTGCGTCTCCCGCGGGACTCCGCGACCCCTGGACGTTCGGTTTTCCCTGTGCCCCTTCGCGCGACCCGGAGACCTCCCGCTATTACCACCGCCCTCATCCCCTAAGACTGGAGAACTCACCTCTCCAGGCGTCCGCCTGGAGGTCTTGGGCACGGAGGCCACCACAGGGCCCTCGCGGGCCGCTGTCCCGCGGATCCAGCCCGGCCCAACCGCGGGGCCCCCAGCAAAGTCCAGGGGGCGCGGGCCGCTGGACTACGTCTCCCAGAAGCCCCTGCGCAGGCCGGGGGCGCGCGCGAAGCCCCGCCCCAAGGCGCGGCGGGGGCGTGGCGAGGCCAGCTCAGGTGAGCTCGGAGTTTCACCTGGGAACGTCCCGTTGGCGGGGCTGGACATACCAGTCCAGAAACAAACACCGGCCTCCACCCGCCGTCTACACTCAAGAATAAAATATACCTGTAATTTCTCCATCCAGACATAGCTATGTTTCAGCTTACATCCTTTCACATAAATATTTGCCTTCTTAACCTACTTTTTAAATCAAATATATATTGAACATTGTGTTCTTCCACAATATTTTGTAAATTCTACATGCCACTTATGTAATTAACGTCTTACCTTGTTACTGTTAGGCTGTTTCAAACTACTGACATTACAACCACCATCACTTGTGTTTGGCGGAGACTCAAAGGCAGGCTAGGGAGTGGGAAAGCTTCCTAGAGAAAAAAGGGAAGACTTCAGGTGTGCTCTGACTGGAGGTTACTGGTACAGAGAAGCTGGAGGTGGGCTAACCAGAAGCAGTGCATCTTATGTGATTGATTTGCAGACCGTATTTGGCTTTCTTTCGTTGGTCCTGAGTTGGAAGCAGAGGCAAAAAATAGGGAAAGGAAGTCACTGACCAAGTCCTGACTGTTCTGGACTGATTGCTGCCGAGGTTGGAGTTTGGTTTCCTGGTTGGAAACCAGCTGGTTGCTGCAGAGTTTGTGGGTCAGAGTTCCATTGTCATATATGATCTGGCATTTTCTGTTTGTATCTTCAGTCTCTCAAGTGTAATGGTTTCAAACAGCAGTCATTTATCATCTTTCATGGTTTCTCTGGGTCAAGAATTCAGGAGCAGCCTGGCTGGACAGTTCTGGCTCAGGGTTTTCAGGATAGCTGAACCCGGAACAGTGTGGAGGTCCAGAAGCAACTCGGAGCTGACTGGACATCTCTCTCATTTCATGTAATCTCAGGATTTCTCCATGTGCTCATTCTATGTGGGCTAGTTTGGGCTTCTTAACAGCACAGTAGCCTCAGTCATCTTACCTTGTAGCTCAAGGTTCTAAAAGCAAGAGTCCCAAGAAAAATCCGGATGGGGCAACAAAAGACTCCGAATTGCTAAAGCAATCCTGAGAAAAAAGAACACAGCTGGAGGGATCACAATCCGTGACTTCAAAACATACTACAAAGCTACAGTAAGCAAAACAGCATGGTACTGGTACAAAAACAGGTGCACAGATCAATGGAACAGAATTGAAAGCCCAGAAATAAAACCACACATCTATGGACAGCTGAGGGCATACAAATGGTGCTGGGAAAACCGGAAAGCCATAAAATAAACTCAAAATGGATCAAAGACCTAAAGCTGAGACCTGAAACCATAAGGCTTCTAGAAGAAAATGTAGGCAGTACACTCTTTGACATCAGTATTAAAAGGATCTTTTCAGACACCATGTCTTCTCAGACAAGGGAAACAATAGAAAGAACAAACAAATGGGACTTCCTCAGACTAAAGAGCTTCTTCAAGGCAAGGGAAAACAGGATTGAAACAAAAAAACAACCCATTAACTGGGAAAAAATATTTGCAAGTAATACATCCGACAAAGGCTTAATATCCATAATGTATAAAGAACTCACACAACTCAACAACAAAAAATTAAACAACCCGATCAAAAAATGGGCAGGAGACATGAACAGACATTTCTCCAAAGAAGATATACAAATGGCCAATAAGCACATGAAAAGATGTTCATCATCGCTGATCATCAGGGAAATGCAAATCAAAACTACACTAAGATATCACCTTACACCCATTAGAATGACAAAAATATCTGAAACTAATAGTAGCAAATGTTGGAGAGGTTGTGGAGAAAAAGGAACCCTGATATAGTGCTGGTGGGAATGCAAACTGGTGCAGCCACTATGGAAAACAGTATGGAGATTTCTCAAAAAATTAAAAATAGAACTACCATACGATCCAGCCATCCCACTACTGGGTATCTATCCAAAGAGCTTGAAGTCAGCAATTCCAAAAGTCCCATGCACCCCAGTGTTCACTGCAGCATTATTTACAATAGCCAAGACGTGGAAGCAACCTAAGTGCCCATCAACAGATGATTGGATAAAAAAGATGTGGTATATATATACAATGGAATACTACTCAACCGTAAAAAAGAACAAAATTGTGCCATTTGCAACAACATGGATGGATCTTGAGGGAATTATGCTAAGTGAAATAAGCCAGATAGAGAAGGACAATCTCTGTATGACTCCACTCATATGAGGAATTTAAACATGTGGACAAAGAGAACAGATTAGTGGCTACCAGGGGAAAGGGGGGGTGGGGGTGGGCACAAAGCGTGAAGGGGTGCACTTACAACACGACTGACAGACAATAATGTACAACTGAAATTTCACAAGATTGTAACCTATCATTAACTCAATAAAAAATTTTTAAAAAATTATTCATTGTTTAGCTGAAATGAAAACTTAACTGGGCATCCTGTATTTGATCTGGCAATCCTAGCTTGGGACAAATCATCATAAGCATTATTTTTCTCAAAATTTTGACTTAAACCATATTTGATCACAAGCTTTAGAAGATGAGAGCTTTCTCTGCTTCAGCATTGCAATATTCTTTGGGGCTATATAATTCCAAAGTCAGCCTAACCTCAAACTCCACATCCAGTGTCCTTTTCAGTTCTTCAAGGCTCTCAGGTCAATACTTGGCCCTGTAGGCTCTGAATATGCCTCCACTGTATTCTTTTCCAGCTGAAATCTTTCCTTTCCTTATGGACCATTCTTCTCCATACAGGATTCCTCTCCTCAAATCACTATTATACATTTCTATCCTTACCCTCTCACACCAAATTGCTTGTTTTCATCAGGTCCATTCCATTCTTCTTTCGCTGGTTTAAAGCTGCCTTTCTTAGAGTCCTGCTGGTTCTTTACATAAAGTAATTGATAACAAACATAAAGAGGAGGTTTTTATTCTCTTTTTACTGATAAGGAAAAATGAGGCTTTCAGAGCAAAATTAAAATGCTTCAAGACACATCACTAATATATTTTACAACAGAATTTGAACCAAATTCTAGCTGAATTTCAGCCTCTATTTTTGTCACTGTATCAAAGAGTTCAAATGTCTTTCTCTCCCAATATAATTTAAATTCCTTACTGCAGACCCTGTGACTGAAGTTTTTCTGTCACTCAAAGATCCTAGTCTAAGTTGGTCCTCAGTCATTTATTTCCTTATGTTTTTTAATTTATTACTATTTTTTTAAAGATTGGCACCTGAGCTAACAATTGTTGCCAATCTTTTTTTTTTCCTTCATCCTGGAAGGGATTTATGGTTGCTACCAGGACCTGCTTCGAGCCTGAGTGACTTCAAGCCATAGTGATAAGCCTTGGGGAAGCCAAGGCTGCAGGTTTCTTGAGCCCAACACAGCAGAATCCTGTGACCCCTTGAGGCTGGGATTGATGCGTAAGACCCCCCCAGGCTGGAATTAAAAGGAGCTTTCACGTCCACTCTCTGAGTACCTAGTGCTGTTGTTTCCCAGGGGGTGTTCTCTGCGGCTCATTTTTGAGTCTTTCATCCTTCAAGACAAGGATTTTCTATCCCATCATGTCTCTCAAGAAAAACTTAAAATGACTTCACAATCACCAAAGCTCCATCTCTCAGAACATGGCTGACTTTGTTCACTCCCACAGCTTCTGTCAACATGTAGCTTCTCAAACTGCTGACGCTAATCAGGATTCTTTCCCAGAATTTTGGGGCCGTCGCTCCCAGAGAACGTTTCAAACCGGTCCGAGCAGACGTCACACAGACAACGCCCACTGAGCATGGTCAGAGCACCGCGCGTGCGCGAAGGCTGCCCACAGGCTAAGTCGCTTGGTCCCACCGAGAGCATGCTCGCAGGCTGCAGCATAGTGGGGTAGAGAGAGGTTGTCCTGAGAGGGCCATCCTGGGGGGAGGCTGAGCACGAGGCAACAGCCCTGACGCTCACTCGCACCTTCCGCTCAGGGCGGTGGTGGCAGTGGTTGCGTGGGAGCAGGAGCCATAGGTGTGGTGCCCCAGTGGCCTGTGAGAGGATGGAAAGGCTGAGGCCTCAGCTGCTCGTGAAAGGTACTTGTACAAGGAAACGAAACCGCAGACAAACCATCGTCCTTCTAACCGCTTGCAGCCTCTGTTTGGTTTTGTTATGTTTGCATGGGAGATGCCACCTTAGGCCTGCATATTTGAAGACAGCATTACTCTGTGATCAGCAGTCTGTGATCACAGATCTGTGATCAGTGTAATCCACAGGGACAAAAAATAAAAAATAAGGCTTTTAGATTGGGCTGGGATTGGCACTGACTGACATTTTTTATTTTTTTACTTTTTAAATTATTTTTAAACTTTTTATTTCATAATGCTTACAGACTCACCAGAAGTGGCAAAAATAGTACATTCAGTCGTGAACTTTTCACCCAGCTTCTTCCATTAGTGACATATACTGTAGTACACTATCAAAACTAGGAACTGACATTGTACAACACTTAACCAGGCTACATGCCTTACTCCATTTTCACCAGTTTGTACGTACACTTGTTGTGTTTGCATAGCTCTATGCACGTTGACCTCCTGTATAGATTCCTGTAACCACAAACAGGATCCAGAACAGCTCCATAATCAAAGAAGAACTCCCTCTGCTGTCCCTTAATAGTCACACTCATGTAACGCCACTCATGTTCCTGTCCCCTGGCAACTACTAATCTGGTCTCCATCTCAATGGTTTTGTCATTCTGAAGATATTCTACAGATGGAACCATACAAAATGCACCTTTTGATATTGGCTTTTTGTTAAGCATAATGCCCTTAAGTTCCATCCAAGTTGCTGCACATATCAATAGCTAGTTTTTATTGGTGAGTGTAGTTCTTTTGTATGTATGCAACTGTGTTTTCTTAGATTCTGTATTTTTCTATTTGGCATCCATTCGTCACAGGGCCAATTAGATTAACTATTTTTTCTTACTTTCTGTATTCTTGATGCTTTGGCATTTGGGAGCCTTACAGACCCGGGGAGAGGCTTCCTCCTAGGGCTGACCAATTCTTAGAGAGAGCAAGGGGCTGGGCCAGAAGCACGCCTTTCATATACAAACCAAACAGACTAGAGTCTGTACATCCCAACCATCTCCTTCTCCAACTACACTAAGCCAATATTTCCCCTGCTCTAAATCATCTCAGGACCAAGTACCAGGCAACCAGAGACCACTGCTGTGTTAAAAAATAAAATTCAACTGAATAAAATTTAAAGATCCCGTTGGCTTTTTTCAATGATTCATGAATTAGGCAGCATCCAATCTAGCAGATGGACAGGAGCTCTGAAGAGCTATACATGACAAGAGATTTTATAGGCAGAAGTAGGGTTGAGCATAAGTGACTCCATTTTGAGCCTGT